TTCCGATATTTTTCGTATTTGCATTAATTTTACACGCTTTAGTTTATCGAATGCCTTTTCGAAGTCCACGAAACATGCAAATACATCTTTTCTTTGGTCACGGCATTTTTGTAATAGGATGTTAAGCGCAAAAAGTGCCTCCCTGGTTCCCATAGCATTTCTAAAACCAAATTGGGTATCTTCAAGATCTTCTTCGCATTTGCGTCTAATTCTGTTGTGAGGTATTTTGAGGAAAATTTTAAGAGTGTGGCTCATTAGGCTAATTAATCGATATTCTGAGCATTTTCTCGCATTGTGTTTTTTTAGGTATTGCGATTAAGATGGATTTGAGCCAATCTGCGGGAATCACGCCGGTGTTATACCGGGTGGTGAATCGTCAAACGGACCATAGGAAACTCAATGGTAAATTCTAAATTGTTGAATTCCTGCTTCCCTAATTATTTTACACACAAAAGTCATGGGAAACTATTTGTAGAGGACTCAAATATGTATCGAAAACAACTGTTAAAATTATTCTACGACTTAAACGTATTCCAAAATTTTGCTAAAATATAATACATTTTCAGGCCACCCCTAAAAGTTAGGCCACACGTAACGCAAGAATATATATTAGGACGTTTGTGTTTTATCATATTTATGTCAGATGTTTGACAATTTGAATTGTCAATTTTTATTTTATGATTAAATTATAAACAATGAATTTTACTAAATACTACTACTAATGAACATTATTACTTTGTGAACAATAAATTATATTGTTTACAAATCGATCAATATAAATGTACTCAGTTGACGAAAAAATCGCATAATGTTGTACTCAGGCAATAGCGCGAACCTTTTCCTGCCACTACCGGATCTTTATTTAACGTAAGATATTCTAATTCACTAAAATTTAATTCCATGTTAAGTAAAGTTATACAACAATTCAATGAATTCCAATATACTGTTACTGTGATCTTTATTCCTAATAATAATATATGAAAATTTATAAACATAAAACTATAACAAGTGTTATAATAAAACATGAATAAAAAATTTTTATTATTGCTTTTTTCTCCTCAACTGAGTACATTTTTTAATCAACTTAATTTTTTTTTAACAATAAATCACAAAATGCCATTTAAATCATAGATAAATGTAATATAATTGATTTAAATATTGTCAATTATCAGAAACAATAATATGACAAAACGCAACACGTAATACACATTTTTTTCACAGAAAAATGTATTATATTTTTAGCAAAATTTTGGAATACCTTTAAGTCGTAGAATAATTTTAACAGTTTGTTTTCGATACATATTTGAGTCCTCTACAAATAGTTTCCCATGACTTTTGGTGTAAAATAATTAGGGAAGCAGGAATTCAACAATTTAGAATTTCCCATTAAGTTTCCTATGGCCCGTTTGACGATTCACCACCCTGTATATTGAATTAAAAAGTTTTACTACTACTTTTATGTTATCATTCTCTATCAGTTTTAGCAACTTAGTTGGTGGTGTATCATATGGACCGCAATCTTTTCTAATTTTAGCATTATTTATAGCATATTCTACTTCGCATTTTATAATTTCTGGGCCGTCAGTACAGTTTTGGTAGAATTCGGCAATATTATTCCTGTCATCTTCAAACAACTTTGATATATACAGCTGCCATTCTTTTCTTATTTCTTGCTCATTTACAATAATTTTGTTATTAGTGTCAACAAGTACAGAGGGAACTCGTTTTTTAAATATATTACTCATTTCTTTCAGTTTTTTGTGTACATTAAATAAGTCGTGTTTAGATATTACATCCTCCATTTTGTCGCATCTTTCTCTCATCCATTTTTATTTGGCTAATTTATTCTTCTTTTTTATTCTCTTCTCTGCAGGTGTCTATATTCTGTTACATTAGATTTTATCAGTCGACGTTGTTCCATTAATTTCAAGATGTCGTCTGTCATCCAGTTATTTTTCTTGATTAAGTTTTTTTTTATAATCATTGTTTGTGGAGATTTCGTGAACTTGGTTTTAAAATTCACTCCATAGTTCTTCTGGATCTGGATCCATTTTATCAATCAAAGATGGAATAAAGAATTGAATTTGTTATAGAACGCGGGCACATAAATTTGCAACGCCCTGTACATCGATTGGTAAATATTTGTTATAATTTAGTTTTAAGCAGTGGGTTTATCCATAATGAGTTTTGCCCTAAAGGACTGAAAAACATTAGTAAATACTTAAATATAAATAGATAATTGTTTTCCGGTATCTCTAGATATAATATTTTAAAAGCCTTTGTTTTTGCTTCGCTGGAAAGGCCAAAAGCCGCCAGATAGTTATTGTATTTAGAAAGTATGAGATAAAAATCGTTATCATTTTCAAAGAAAGTTGTTTTGAAGCGATGCTTGGGTTTTTCTGATATAAAATAAGAGGCGGGATATAGAAATTTTCTGATTGGTTAGCGAGTTTGGAATGGGAAAAGAGTGAATGTTTTGAAAGTTTGGAGTAGAAAAGATTTTTATGTGATGGTCATCCGAAAGAAAACAGTTGAAGTTTTGTGTAGTCAGTTAAGAAGCAAGTGCCAGTAGTGTTAATAATTAGAAGTGAGTGACTGTAAGTTGGAACGAGAGATAGATCAAAGTTGAGAAGTCGAATCCCAAACAGCACAGTACGTCTTAAGTACGTACAATTTTCGTACTGTACGTACATGATGTAAAATGTAGGTTTTAAGTACGTACATTGGGGTACATACCAGTACGTACAGAAGAGTACGTACTTATTACGTCTTAAGTATGTACATACCAGTACGTACAGAAGAGTACGTACTTATTACGTCTTAAGTATGTACCATAAGAAAGAAGAGTTAAAGCATATTTATTATGTTAGGTTATGTTCACCTAACCTAATTCATTTAGTTAGAATTTTACACCTCGAGTACAGTGGTGATGTGATAATTCATTGCAAGACAGTTTCATTTAGATTTTTTTAAGTGGCGTATTAAGAAATTGGACGATGGTTAAGGAGAGTCGGGGATCGCTTAAAAACTTTCTTATTTTTAAAAGAATAAAAATTGAATTTATTAAAAAAAAATAAAAATATATTCACCTATATTTACTTTTATTTACATAAATCATCATAAGTGTGTATAGTATGTACATAATATATATATATATATATATATATATATATATATATATATATATATAGTATGTACTAAGTACATACCTTCAATATGTACTAGGTATGTACCTTCAGTACGTACCAGGTACGTACTTTCAGTACGTACTAGGTACGTACAATAATTTGGAAAAAGTACGTTTTATGTACGTATTAAGTACGTACTTCGTACAGCAAAGTACGTACATTGTACGTACTTTATGTCCCATAAGTACGTACTTAGTATGTCTTATGTACGTACTTGTGCTTACTGGGATACCTCCTGGATTCTATAAAGTTCAAGTAAGAAGTCACAAAAACCATAACTATAAAAAGTATTTGCCACACAAAGTAAAAGTAATATTACTTGGATCTCAGGAGATTATTAGTATATGAAAGAGAGGTCATTAAAAGGTCAGTCAATAATTTTTATGGCAAATTTTTTTTGTATGTTTCAAATAAAAGACTCTATACCATCAGAAGAACAAAAATTATCGCCATTTTAAGATACTATAAATTTTATAAAAGTTTTTTTTTAACGTCAAAGGATAATATTATTAATATTGCGTAATAAATTTAGATTAAACAATCTGAGATTTGCCGACGACACCGTTCTGATCGCAGAAACACTTGAAGAGCTCCAGACATTGGTGAATAAGATATCAGACTGCAGCGAAGAATATGGATTATCTTTGAACATAAAAAAAAAACTAAATTTATGGTAATATCGAAATCAACACAAAATGTCCAAAATTTACATTTACACAATGAAATTACCGATCGAGTTAGCCAATACAAATATTTAGGCACTTTTATAAATGAAGACAACGATAGCTCAGCAGAAAATCAAAATAAGAATAGAAAAAGCCAGATCCATATTCACTAAAATGAAGAGAGTGTTCTGCGGAAGAGATTTGAGCCTTGAAATGAAACTTCGCCTGATGAGATGTTACGTACTTTCTGTGCTGTTCTACGGAATGGAGTCATGGACGTTGAAAAAGATTGATATAAAAAAATTAGAGGCATTTGAACTGTGGATGTATCGCAGAATCCTGAGAATATCATGGACCGAGAGAGCCACAAATGTCGAGGTTTTGAGAAGAATGAATAAAGAAAAGGAAGTCATATTTACGATCAAAAAACGAAAACTGCAATACTTGGGACACATTACAAGAGGCGAAAGATATGAACTGCTTCGAATAATTATGCAAGGGAAAATAGCAGGAAAAAGGTCCATAGGCAGAAGACGAATTTCCTCGCTAAAGAATCTACGGGAATGGTATAGCTGTAGCAACAAAGAATTGTTTCGGTCAGCAGTTTCGAAAATACGTATAGCTCTGATGATCGCCAACCTTGGGAACGAAGAAGAATAAATTTAAAAGGTTTCTTTTTATAATATTCAGATTTTTTTTTGTACAAAACCATATGAACAAAGATTTCAATATTTTAAAATTTTCATATTATTTCTTTTGATAGTAAAAGATATTTGTATTTATGTTATTTCTTTTTATTTCCTTTCTTATTTTATCCCGAGAAGGAACAATTAAGAAGCCACGAGAAAATATAAGTATAACTGAAGCTGATTTATTATTTTTATAAAATGGCACCCTGAGATTGTTTTTTTATGTATGATTTGCGACATTTAGATAATTAATTAAAGTAATTCAATAATCAAGTTAATATAAAAGTAAGAAAAAGCAGATCATAATATATATATATATATATATATATATATATATATATATATATATCCAGAGAGAGAGAGACATAATTCCCGTAATCGTTTCCCATTTATCACAACGCAAGCAACCACTGAAATCCACCTTTCAACGTCCTAATTTCGTGTTAATTTATTTGCAGACATGGCCCTTTACCTTCCAGAGATGCCCCGATTCCACAACAGATGTAGTCGACGAAAGGGATCAGCACGTATGGGCCCATGAAGGCCCCATCCAGTCTATCATCAGGGAAAAGGACATATCTTATTTCTACTAATTCTAATTTATTTTCTTTTCGTTTAGAAGGGGCATGTGAGCCGGCAAAACACGGGCGGCATAGCGGGTTATATTGGAAGGGTTTTGATTTTTTTAAAGCTAGTTTGAAGTTAAGAATATTATTTCATTAACTTGTTAATTAGATTAATTGATTATTTTTAATCAATGACAGTCTAATAGAGTAAATTTAAAATCATCGTTTACTTATAATTCTTCGTCTTCTTATGAATAGAGCTATCCTATATACTATTATCGCTGTTATTCATACTTTTAAACTTAAATCGAAAGCAATTACGACGAACTACTAAGAGCGAAGGTTGCTGATTTCGGTGTAGAGAGATATTACAAAATCCTCGGGTTCTGGATTCCATGACAACTAGTCTGTTTCTTAAGTTACTAACATATTTCATGGTATTTTTTATAATACTGTTTTAATAATAGGTAGAGGTACTTTTAACGATAGTACCTTTAATCAGTCACTTTATATATACATATATATATATATATATATATATATATATATATATATATATATATATATCCGGTTTTTTAGGCGTTACGCCCGTCCGGTAGGGATCTATGGAGGAGTATCACCAAGCCGCAAGCCCTTATCTCTTGCCGTACTGCTCCACCATAGGCTGATCAGATCCCAGCATATCCTAGTCTAAGCCGCAGATTCATCTAGAATTTTAAACTACTGCGTTAGACTTTTTGTTTTCAGTACACCGAGCTGGGGCTCGAACCCACATCCACTGAACCATTCGACAGTGAAGCAAATGAGAGGCAGCCGCACAGCCCGCTGAGCTATCTGACCGACTAATCAGTCACTTTACCTAATAAAAATTCCAGCTGTTCTGAGGAAAAGTCGTAGAGAACCACCTACCAGATGATACTACCTATATCTTTGTTTTGTTCACTGTATATTGCTAATCATAAACTATATAGCATAGCTTTGATATAGCATTTTTTTAAGTTTCTATCGGAATGTGATCGATGGCTCACACAACAGCCTAGTAGATCTATAGCAATTTGTCAACTGGGTGAGATTTCTGCAATTATCCAAAACTGCTTTGATATACAGAAATAATTAGTTCCAGCACCCTGCACTTTTACAAAAACTACCTCATTTTTAGAAAATGTTCCGCAAATAATTGAGTAGTCATAGGAGAAACAAAAAGTAGCTTGACCAAGAAAATTAACAAACTGGAAGCTGAAGCCAAGATGTAGAATACAAATAAACGAAAATGCAGCAAAATATATGCAAGTAAACAAAAACTAAAAAAATCAAAGGGGGTACCTGAAGATTGGCATATTCAAATTTGAAAAAATAACGATATTCCACTACCTGTGAGTGACCATGGAAGCGACTGTACAATAAAAAATTATGGAAAGTCTTTTAAAGGGCAACAAAGCCTTCGAAAAATACATAAAATTGCTAAAACAGAAAAATAAGAACAACATACAAAAATAAAGATATAAGAAATACTGATACGGTCACTTGGAGAACATTCATAAACTACGTCGAATAAAATTTGGATTTTTAATTCCCTCTCCCCTCGTCGTAAAAAGTGTAGTTTACAGTCGAGACTCTTCTTCATATCGACGACGCAATTGCCACTTACGACCCCGATTTTTTTTTAATTCGATGTCATTTCTGGATTTTTTTATATTAACTATAAAACTTTATTTACGAGTGTATCTGGTGAAGCTAATGAAAAATTACATTTATAGAGACAATAGTGACAAATTGAAATACACCAAGTGACGTGGAATGTTTCCTTATGTCCCCCTCCCTCTTCCCCATGACGTAGTTTATGGATATTTCGTTATCACATAGCTTTGAAAACAACAATGATGAACAAAAAGAAAAATAAAAGTTAAGAAGACTTATAAGGAAAATAATAAGAACAATTCTAGGACCTAATATTACCCGTGATGAGAAAGAGGATTAAAAAGAAATAAAGATATAGAAAAAGAGTTAGGAAACAATAATATGGTGAAAGTAATTAAATGACAGAATATGCTAAAGTGGAAGTGAAAATCAAATCTATTGAACGGTGACGACGATGATGATGGTAAAAAAAGATATTAATATAATTTCTATTAAAACTAAAGAGTGGGAAAACGAATGGAGAAAACCAACACAGAGATAAGGAGATGTAAACCACCTCAGAATATGCTAAAGTGGAAGTGAAAATCAAATCTATTGAACGGTGACGACGATGATAATGATTAAAAAATATATTAATATAATTTCTATTAAAACTTAATAAATCAAAGAGTGCATCAATAAATAAGACGTAATTGAGAAGTGCGAACCCTTAGGATGTTTTACTACACTTATTATTACATTTGTATGCGTGTAAAACTTGCTAAATATTGATCTTCATGAACGTTCCTTCAAAAAAGCAATTTTGCTAATAAATAAGCATTTTTTTCTACATATAATTTAGGCGAGCATCAAAACCCCAAAAACTACTGTAGTTTTCGATAAACGTATAACTCGTTGGCAACCAGACAAATTTGGTACCATAACGTTTGTAATAAAAATTTGCAAAAGTGTTTTAAATATAATTTTTTGATTGTCTTGGGAAAATCTAAAATATCTATCTAATTAGCCTTCTTCGGTCCATCTTTGGACATAGGGCTCCCCGATCCTTTTCCATTCTTCTCTGTATGTCGCTACAGTCATCCACCTAGAGCCAACGTGCTTCTTGATATCATCTGCCCATCTCATTTGGGGCCTTCCTCTGCTTCGTTTATATTCCCACGGTCTCCAACTTATAAGAATTTTGTTCCATCGGTCTTCTTTTTGTCTTGTATTGTATCCGGCAAATCTTCATTTCAATTTTGCAACTTCTTGTCTAACATCCCTCACTTTTGTTTTCTCTCTTATCCACTCGTTTCTCTTTTTATCTATTAGTCTTATGTGCAACATTTGTCTTTCCATTGCTCTTTGGGTTTTTATGATTTTGTCCATGTTTGCTTTTGTAAATGTCCACGTTTGGGAACCATAAGTAAGAACAGGGAGTACGCATTGATTGTATACTTTGGTCTTAAGATTCTGTGGATATCTTTTGTTTTTAAGAATGTAGCTTAGTTTGCCAAATGCCGCCCATGCCAGTCTAACTCGTCTCTTTATCTCTGCTGTTTGGTTCTCTTTGTTAAGTTTTATAGTTTGACCAAGATATATATATATATATATATATAATATATATATATATATATATATATAATCCTGAACTTGTTCTATTTCATCTTGTCCGATTCTCATTGCGATGTCTTCATCTGTATTTGTTATGGTTTTGGTCTTGCTGTAATTCATATTAAGGCCTATCTTTCCAGCTTCTACGTCCAGTTCTTTCATCATTTCAAATAATGTTTCTTTTTTATCAGTTATCAATACCATATCATCAGCGTACCTTAGATGGTTCAAGCGTTGTCCACAAATTTGTATACCTTTTTCTTCCCATTCTAATCTTTTAAAAATATCTTCAAAAGCCTGATTGAAAAGTTTCGGTGATATTCTATCACCCTGTCTCACGTAAAATATCTATATCAATGTATATATTGTATATATTGTATATATCACATAGTATATCAATAGATATAGTATATCAATATTTATATTGTTTATAATCAAAATTAAGAGTTTGCATATCTATATCTTTTTTTTTTTCGCAAATATCTAGTTATTTGTATTATATATTAATGGCAGGACCCATTTATTTTTCTTCTTCTTGATGTGCCTATCCGTTACTAATGTTGGCAATCATCATGGCTATCTTTATCTTAAGCAGCGCGGAAAAGCTGTACAGATATACTGAACCAGATTCTGAGGTTCTTTAGATGTTTTTCTTTTTCCTGGACCCCGTTTTCCAAATATTTTTCCTTGCAGGATGGCTTAAAGGAGAGCATATCTGGATTCATTTCGCATTATATGTCCGAAGAACTGTAACTTTCGAGATTATTGGTCAGTACCTCTCGGTTCTTATTCATTCTTCTGAGGACCTCTTCATTTGTGACCTCGTGGGCATTCTCGGATATAGCCACATTTCAAAGGCTTCCAGTTTTCTGCACATATCTTCGTTTAAGGTCCACGATTCAACACAAACATAAAAAAGGACAGAGAAGACGTAGCATCGCAATATTCTTACTTTTGTATCAAGAGAGGGATTGTGACTCTTGAAGAAGGCCCCATCCGGTTGAAGGTGGATCTAGCTTTTCCGATGCGGGCTCTACTCTCCTGGTTGTTGGTCCATTCTTCATTTATTATGGTGCCGAGGTAGTTGTAGCGCGTCACTCTTTCTACAGGGGATTGGTTGACGCAGAGTTGACCTTCTGTTATCATTTTCTTGCTAATTATCATAAGCTTTGTCTTCTTAACGTTTATATTGAGTCCATATTGTTAACTGTAATACGTGATTTTCTTGATAATAACTTGTAGTTCTTTTAAGTTGTCCGCAAATACTATGATGTCATCTGCATATCTGATGTTGTTTAGCCGGTAACAATTTAGTAGAATACCTTTTTAGGTATTAGAATATTCTTTCAGAGTACAGAATGACGATTAGAGGAGACCAAATACAGCCTTGCCTCACTCCACACCATGATTTTCACATAGTCATTGTGTTCACCTTCAACTCTGAGATTTGCTGTCTGATTCCAGTAAAGATTTCTGATTATTTTCAGATCTTGGTTGCTAATTCCAGTTTCTTTTAGTATTTGCATATGAAATTTTATGAAATATTTATTTATGAAATGTGTCAAAATTAGAAATCAAAATGTCTAAACCGAGCCGCGATATCACAAATTATATGCAAAATAACATTAAAAGTTTGAATGTTCCTATTGTGAATATCCAATAACTGTTCAACATGTATTGATTGAATGTCCTCTTTATTCATACGAAAGAGCCATCAACAACGTACCAGAAGAAGCAAAGAAACTTAAAGATATTTTAAACAGTAATGTATCTAATACAATCAAATTCCTTAAGGACATACGTTTACTACACAAAATTTAAGTTATATTATATGTATCTCTTTGTAATTTGTAATTTATTATGTGTAATTTAATACGCAATTTGTAATTAGTAAATTTGTATTTGTAATAACAATAACCTTTAATGGTTGATGCGGAAATTCTAAATAAAAAAAAAAACATTAAAAGTATAGAATCAAAATTTTTGCCGTCTTCTTTTTTATTACGAACTTTTTGATATTAAATTTGTCGGGTTGTCAACGAGATATAGGTAATGGTCGTCTTTTTGTGGGTACGTCTCTCGCCTAATTTCTTTTCCGATTCCGCTCTCACATAAATATCATGGCAACGGGATCTCATTGTTAATAGATATTATTTAAATTCAATTCAACATAAAAATAATCACATAATTATTGAATATGATTCATTGACAGAATTCTAGGTCAGCAGTCAGTACTAAAAATAATTAATAATATCAAACCCTTTAAAAGCTCTATGGTGGCGCCTATGTTTCGCCGGATTTAGTATATAGAACCATTATTTATTATTTTTGCTGAATTTGTGGGATGTTAGTAATAATTTGTAACTATTTTATTTATTATATAGTTTTAGGAAAGTGAGAACTTGAGATTAAAAGTGACATTTTGAACAAATGTGTGTATTTTAATAATTGATTGCTCAGATCCCCAGAACCATACCAGTGACTGATGGAATAATGCAGTAGACAAATAAGTATAAAATTTAAAACAAAATTCAGATTTTCAGTAATTACTTACTGTGGTAAATAAAAAAGTATGAATAATTTTGAATTTTTTTTTATTAAAAAATAGATTTATCTTTATTGGTTATCCGATGGGGGATCAAATATTTAACTGTGATATGTAGATTGCAAGTTGATTCCTTGGTATCTTCGACTTTTCCACACTGTAACCTGAAAGATATTTATACCTATATACATCTATAAATAAGTATATTTTAATCCAAATAATGTAGGCTTTTGACGAGATACTTAATATGATGGAACAACGGAGACAATTTAAAAACAAAGACAACAATAAATACAGAAAAATAAACCACGAGATCAGGAAGATGATGAAGCAGGCAAAAGAATAATACTTTGAAGGGAAATGCAAAGAGATCGAAGACCTTCAAAATAAATATGATCTGTTTATCCTACACAAGAAAGTTAAAGGCAGGACTAAGAAAACAAAATCCCACTTGTGCAATTCTGGATAGAAACGGGACTACTATAACACATATGGAGAGATCGTTCGATGATGAAAGAGGAGATCTGGAACAATAGAACTTACGTCAGAAGAAATGGGTCCATATATTACAAAAGAAAAAATATTATAAGCATTAAAAACAATGAAGAGCGGGAAAAGCTCTGGACCTGACATGCTTCCTATAAAAGTCCTGAAAATTCTAGATGAGAAGCACATTGATGTTTTAGTGATTTTCTTGAACCAAATTTATAGTTCAGGCGTATTACCCAAAGAGTGGTTACTAAGTACTAAAAGTCATCCATAACCGAATATATCACAAACTGGACATAGACGTTAATGATACACAATTTTTTTTTCGCAAAGGCCTAGAAACACGTGAAGCTCATTTTTCACTTAATATACTGATACAAAGATGTCTGGACGTCAATCAAGATATATACGCATGTTTTATTGACTATAATAAAGCATTCGATAAAGTACGACATAAACAATTAATAAATGTCCTGAAATCAAAAAAGATTGACTACAACGATCTCAGAATCATACCAAATTTATACTATAAACAGCGAGCAAAAGTACATGTTAACGAACAGCTGTCAGAAGAAATTGAAATTAGACGTGGAGTGAGACAGGGATTGTCGTATTGTCGCCAATTCTTTTTAATACCTATTCCGAAGAGATCCTGAAAAACACTCTTGAGGGTGAAACTGCTGGAATAAAGGTAAATGGATTTCCCATTAACAACATTAGATATGCGGACAACACTGGGATCTTAGCCGAAAATATTGAAGATCTCCAGAGACTGGTGACCATAATAGCGAAGTATGGAAAAGAGTACGTCTAACGATGAATGTGAAGAAGATGAAATTTCGGGCGACGTGTCCATCCCAGTTCCATTTCAGTGTGGCACACACTGAATTTTAATATACCTAGGTCAAAATAGAAATATAACTGTTTTCCAGGTTAAAGTTTTTGCTTTAGTGGCCTGCATTGATGAAATCATGGATGGAGACCCTAAGGGCGAGAGAATCAACATTTATACATATAGCCAAGCAGCTATTCTGACCTACTCACTAAATAAAAATTGGTGTAGAACTGCAAAACACCTAATAAAGCTAGGTAAGGTGAATGAACCATGGTGCAGAAAATGTGAAATGGAAGAAGACTGACATACACATCCTATGCCATTGCAATGTGCTATATATAATATACAGAATTTATTTCCAGATTTAGTCCATTCACTCACGGTAAAATATTGCAAAACCTGCTAATTTTAAAAAATCGCTTGGATTGATATGAAATTTTGATTACGCCTAGCTAAGATGTCAAAGAAAAAAGATTATGCTTTTGCCCTATGGTTCAGTATCAACCCTTCTCAGGAGTGAAAAAATATATGTTCAAGATAAGTTCGCAAGTGCCTAAAATCAGTAATTTTAAGCAACTTTTATTCTATAAAGTTTTTTCACTAAGTCAATACTTTTTCTAGTTATTGAAAAATAGGTTCTTATTCGTCAAATTCCATGTTGAATATTTCAAAGTGAAATAATAAAAAAAAAATAAAGCACTTTTCGACGAAATCTCATTACAACCTTTTTTAAAGTGTTTAAAAAAGGTTTATTTTTGTTAAGTTTCTAGCATCAGAAGTAAGCAAGCTATGACCAAAATATTCATAAAAGCAAAACCTACATTTTTGTACTCTTTGTGATTTTTGGTGTCACTAATAAATTTTTTAAAAGTTATTTTAAAAAAATTTTATTAATTTTATTAATTATAAAGTTATTTAAAAAAAATCAATTTTTCAAAATTAAAAAAAAATGTTAAAAAATAAGCCCTTTAAACTAATAAAACTTACAGATCATTATAATAATACATAAAAACAATGACCAAAAAATTTATTAGAGAAATTAGGACACGCATTGAAATTGCAAGACAAGCATTTATAAAAATAAAAAAAATTAAACGGAGATCTTAACTAGTTTTGATGGGAAATAAGCCACAATCTTACTAAAAAAAAATGATTTTATCAACGTTTCGACGCCCAAATCGGGTGTCGTTGTCAAAATACAAAAACTATTAATGAATTAAACAAAAATGTAAAAAAATACTTCTAATAACTTATTTAATCTGACTCATTTATATTGGCAATTCAGACATATATTATACATTTTAAAGTAAAAGACTTTAAAATGATATTGCCAATATTTATGAGGTGCGTTCCTGGGACTATATATATATATATATATATATATATATATATATATATATATATATATATATATATATATATATATATATATATATATTCTAGCGCGACAATTTTACTGTCACCATTGCACGTGGTTGTCTTTTTAAAGACAGATTAGATGTTATGATTTTTTTGTGACGGATATTCTTGAGTTGGGGTTGATTCCATGTAATTGAATTAACTATCTTTCAATAAAGTCGTCCCAGGAAAGCAACTCATAAATATTGGCAATATAATTTTAAAGTCTCCTACTTAAAAATGTATAATATATGTCTGGATTGCCGATATAAATGAGTCAGATTAAATAAATTATCAGAAGAACTGTTTTTACTAAGCAACAACATTTTTGTTTAATTCATTAATAATTTTTGTATTTTGACAACGACACCGGATTTGGGCGTCGAAACGTTAATAAAATAATTTTTTAGTAATATTGAAGCTTATTTCCCATCAAAACTAGTTAATTGCAATAACGCCACAAGAAAATAGCCTCAGAACAAAATCGAGATCTACCTCTGGAGCTAAGGATAAGCGCCTTAAGATGCTACGTGTTCTCGACTTTGTTACATGGAATGGAAAGCTAGACACTAAAAGTAGACAATATAAAGAAGTTGGAAACATTTTGAGATGTGGTGATATAGAGATTTTTGAAAATACCTGGATCTAACGAGTTACAAATGCAAAGTGTTACGGTACAATGTTACAAAAGGATTGCGAGATGATAAAGAACATCAACACAAAAAAGCTGGAATATTTAGGTTACATTACCGAAGATGCGAAATATGGGATATTGGGCTTATAATGCAAGGTAAAATTAAGGGTAAAAGATCCATAGGTAGAAAAGGAATTTCCTGGCTGAGAAACTTAAGAGAGTGGTATAGTTGCAGCTGAATAGATATTTTCATAGCAGCCGCCAATAAAGTACGAATAGCTGTGGTGATGGACAACCTTCGATAGGAGAAGGAACTTCGACAAGAATAGGATATAAATTTTGTTCTGATAGTAACATTGTACTACAAAAAATTGACAATTTATCTAGAAATGGCAATGTAGAAGTCAATTATATTATGTGCAAAATAAGAAATTGTATAGAGGTGAACTAAAATCAATATGATCTACTGTTCGATCGCATACTTTTTACATTTAAAAATTTTCTGAAAACTATCGGGAATTACGTCATCGAGGATTTAAATGCAAGTAGTGGTGAGTACCAAATGCTATCGATTTTGACTTTGACAAAAGAGCACAAATTACCAACGTTAAAAATGAATAATGTAAGTACATATCTTGATAAAATGACAGGAAATTTCCAACATATAAATATTTGAGGACCATTTGCCTAGGAACAATAGGTAAAAGCTGATAAACAGACAGGATTAGAAAGTTAAAACATCACTAATTAGATTATATTTCAAAACAAAGTAAATAGATATATTTGAATGTTAATTCTTTTCAAACTAAGATTGTAAAATTAAAATTTTAGGAAAAAAATATTTATTATTTCTTGTTCTCAAGAACTACCTTCATTATTGACAATATCGAAACATTTTATTATTAAAAGTCGAGAAGAATTAAAACCACGTTCATATTTATATAAAAGTGCTATAAAAATGAAGGTATATTACTCTTGAGAAGAATTAATATTTTTTAACAAACAAAAGATATAGGTAAAAAAAAGAGGTTTAATAAGTGCTGCAAAAAAAAACGGTAGACCCTATAAAGTGAATGAAATGGACACTGAAGAACTTTTTGACTAAAGGATCTTTCAAAAATTTTTGGACAAAAATTCGGATAACGAGAAGGTAGTATGGAATAATATACATATTCTTAAAGTAGAAAAGTGTTTTCCTACAAAATCTTTTTACAAAACTAACTTTAAATTTTTTTTAATGATACAACCTATAAAACTATTGACCTTTCTACTCGTCGTTTTTCTGATAATAATAATGTTTTAGAGCAATATAACTTAAAACCAGCCTACGAAAAGCCTTCTATTGTAGAAGAGAAAACAAAAGAGCATTTACTGGAATTTTGCAAAAAAAATCTTATAGCAAAAGTACACCAATCATTTTATTTCAATTTGTTGAGTTAATTTCTTGTAAGTGATTTATAATATACAATTATAATTATTAAATTTATCTAATAAAGTACCTACCATTTATAACTTTGTCTGGTT